CGATATTTCTGGACAGTCGCTCTTAAGTCTTACCATTTTATAAATGGTTAGCCTTTTTTTCGGCTCTAGGGAAGGGGGGGAGGTCAGTGAAGGAAGGGGAAAAAAAGAGCCTACTTTTTTTAGCCACTAAATCATGTACTCGTGGCCGCCAGAGGCCGCGCCTTCTGATTGGTTTTTTTTTTGGCTGTGATTGACGTTTTCAATTCACTGTCAAAATAACGATACCCAGGCTATAGTTTTTTTAAAGATCTGACAGTTCCTGACATGAAATGTTGATTTATAATCCTTGTCTGGCAATTTTTTTTACGACAAGAGATAGATAACTATGGTTGCAAATTGCAAATTGAGCATTCAAAGATTTTTTTAAAAAACAGGTTCTCTAAAAACCCATTAAGCCATTACACTATACTACACTGTTGTTTTTTTGGTGGGAGGAGTGTGACGTAGAGCAAGACAAAAAACCGTGGAATTAGTCAAGAATTTTTTTGGAAAAATTGACAWCAACATACAAAATGGCGATCAAGGATAAACATTTGAAACTGTCATACAATTAAAAGGACGACCTTGAAAGGGAATGAACGGTCGAAACTAAGTTCCTCCCCCACTCTGTCAGTCTGCATGCTACCATGACGTCATGATATATTCTTGTGATATATTTGCATTTTTTTTTTAAATTGTCATTTTAATTTGCATGTCTCTTTCAATCTGAATCTATTCAATGTTTAATGTTTTATGTGTATATAAGAATTACTATATCAGATCGTACTTTAAGATTTCTTGGAAATTTTTTTTAAGACGGTCGACTCGAACAAATGTTGAAAGCACTTCAATTAAATCGTTACTACTTTTTTTTCTGTGGCTATCTGTCATGTATTTTAAAAATGGCGGCAAATTAGACGATCAKGTGTTTTTTTCTGAGCAATCACCGTATCATCGCTTATTTCGGCTGTTAGTCGATGACAATTAAGGCAAAAACTTTGAAAATGTCTTCAGAATCAGTGGCTWTATCTGTCTTCTCAATTATGTTGGTTTTTTTCATTGTATTCAACATTATCGTKGGTGCCGTGGTTCTTAGAATGAAACGACAAAACGAGGAAGAAGCGGTCGACAGAAAAAGACACATTGATGTAYTTCATGCTTCTATCGCTTGTTTGAATGTACTTGGAGCGTGTCTTGTCTACCCAACTCTGATTATTCAAGTTTTGAAGACAAACAGTGGCGTTTGCACCTTTCTAACCTCTACAGCTGCTTTCTACATGAGCTGTACTGCTGTTTTTTTTACGGCCATCAATATTCATAGCCTGTACTCCTCTCTCAGACCTTTTCACTATTTTACTTATTTAAGAAAAAGGAACAGCAAAATCCCTTTCGCTTTTGTTCTGCTGTCAGTGATTGTTTTTTTCGTTAATCTAGTACTAAGTGTTTGYGAYTATTCGCTATTTCGACTAAAACCAGGTTTTTTTTTTKGTATCCCGGCTTGCATTCCTGAACTACGAAAAAGTGCCGTTGTTTACTATTTTGTAGCCATGATTCATGTTGTTTTTTGGTTTAATGTTGTATTGTTAGTTGAAGATTTAATGTGTATACCAACATGCCGAAATAGTGAGAGTGAAGAAGGGATATTTGGAGGTGGAACCGATTTTTTTGGTTGGAGAACAAGAGGAGCATGTTTTCGCCTGATGCGAATAATGCTTTACATTTTTTTTTGGTCGCCCTTCACTGTGAGTTTCATTTTTCCTCAAACCCAAAGCAAATTAATGATTTTTTTCTAATCAATACTACTAACATTCTTATCTTATCGTTTCGCTCCGCAGGTTGTTTCTTTTTTTATTGTGTCAGGGTATGACGTATCGAATGACGTCATAGTTACAAGCTGTTACGTCATGCTAGTTCCAGCGGGACTTGTTCTTCCCATAGTGTTCTACGTCACTCATCATGACTGGAGAGAAGTATTCTATGAATGTTTAAATGAWYWTTTGGCAAGGATTCGTTGTAGCAATGAAAGTTTTTTTGATAAGCTKGTTTGACTTATTAAATCTTCAATAATAAACGTTACAAGCAGTTGTGTGTGTGCGCTAAAAGTCGGTTGTATGCTCGAAACCCTCTGAAAATAMAAACTGCTTTCCTTTTTTTTTTCAGATCATGCTCATCCCGCGAACAATGCAGAAGCTATGGAACTTCAAATTGTTTTTTTTTAGACTACACCGAAATTATACGCAAACAATATATCCGTGCACATACATGTATTTTTTTTTTCTTGTAAACTGTTGAGAATTAGMGGTGAACTAGCATGAGCTGCGTCGGTGTTTTTTTTTTTAAGAGTTGTCAAACAGTTGTCAAATAAGATAAATTCTAATATCGTAAAAAGTAGTTTTTTTAACTTACTGACGTTTCTGACGTTAATCTTTTGTCGGAGTAATGATTTGTACTCTTTTTTTTTATTAACTTTATTCAACCAGCACTATTTTGCGCCGTCATTCTCATGTGATTGACTTTTTTTGGATTCTAATGAGCAGAGGAAAGCAGAGGAAAGCAGAGGAAAGCAGAGGTCTGGTTTTTTTGATGTTCTTCATTTTGTTCACGCGTGTTCAACTCAAGATGGCGGCAAAACAAACTTTTTTTTACATGTACTTGCTGTAAAAGTCTGAAGATTAACAACCCCGCCTCTTGCCAACTTTTTTTTTATAATGTCTCCAGAACATGCTGCTTCAGCTGTGCTATCGATTGTATTTATTGTTTTTTTTACCCTTGAACTTCTTCTTGCCATAATGATCATCAAAACAAAACGTCTAAAAGAGAGAGAAACAGTCGAAAAAAAGCGACATGTAGACGTTCTGTATTGTTCTGTGGTTTGTGTGGTTTTTTTTGGATCATGTCTCATATATCCTGTACTTATTTTTGTCCAAAAGAAAACATCTGATTTTTTTTGCAAGACCTTGTTATCAGCAGCTTGTTTCTACATGACTTGCATTTCCTTGTTGTTTTTTTTCATTAATATTCATTCCTTTTATGCCGTAGTCCGGCCATTTCAAYACTTGATTTTTTTTTTAACAAAGCACAGCAAAATCCCTTTTGTTTGCGTTGTGTTATCCGTGTTT